TAAAGAAGGACATTTTATAATGATAAAAGGGTCAATCTATCAGGAAGATATGAAATTATAAATACATATGCAGTTATGCAGAGTGCCAAAGTACATGAAACAAATCTGACAGAAAGAGAAGGAGAAATAGACAATTCAACAATCATAGTTAAGACTGCAATATCTCATTTTTAATAATAAATAGCGCATGGGCGCAGCAGCTCACAACTGTAATACCAGCTCTTTGGGAGGCCAAGGTGGGCGGATCATGAGGTCAAGAGATTGAGACCATCCTGGCCAACATGGTGAAACCCCATCCCTATTGAAAATACAAAACTTAGCCAGGCGCACACCTGTAATCTCAGCTACTTGGGAGGCTGAGGCATGAGAATCACTTGAACCTGGGAGACAGAGGTTGCAGTGAGCTGAAATTGCGCCACTGCACTCCAGCCTAGGCAACAAGAGTGAAACTCTGTCTCGAAAAATAACAATAATAAATAGGACAACTGGGCAGACAATCAGCAAGGAAACAGAAGCTTGAACAATACTATAAAATCAATTAGACCTCACAGACACCTACAGAACAACACTTCCAACAACAGAATATACATTCTTCTCAAGTACATATGGAACATTCTCTAAGACAGACCACCCACTAGGCAGGCTATAAAACAAAGGTCAGTAAATTTAAAGGGCCAAATAATATAAAGTATGTTCTCTGATCAGAATGGAGTGAAATCAAAAACCAATAAAAGAAAAAAAAATAGACAAACTCACAAATATGTGGGAAGTAAACAACATAGTTCTAAATAACCAATGGGTCAAGGAAGAAAATCAAAAGAAAAAAAAAGAAAATACTTTAAATAAAAAATGAAGGTATAGGCCGGGCACAGTGGCTCACGTCTGTAATCCCAGCACTTTGCGAGGCCAAGGCATGCAGATCACCTAAGGTCAGGAGTTTGAGACCAGCCTGGCCAATATGGTGAAACCCTGTCTCTACTAAAAATACAAAAAATTAACTTGGCATGGTGGCATGCGTCTGTAATCCCAACTACTCAGGAAGCTGAGGCAGGAGAATTGCTTGAACCCAGGAGGCAGAGGTTGCAGTGAACCAAGACCATGCCAGGGCACTCCAGCCTGGGCGACAGAGTGAGACTCTGTCTCAAAAAAAGAAGATATAACATACAAAAACTTATGGGAAGCAGGGCATAGTGATGCACATCTGTAAACCCTGCTACTTGTGAGGCTGAAGCAGGAGGATCGCTTGAGCCCATGAGTTCGAAGCCAGCCTAGGCAATATAGCAGAACCCCATTTGTAAACAAGAACAACAAAAATTTATGGAATAAAACTAAGGCAGTACTTAAAGGGAAACTTGTATTTGTAAACGCCCAATTACGAAAGAACAATAACCTAGACTTCTGCCCTAGGACACTAGAAAATGAAATACAAACTACACCTAAAGCAAACAGAAGGAAGGAAATAATACAGGCAAGAGCAGAAATTAATACAGAATAGAAAACCAACAATCATGAAACCAAAAGGTGGTTCTCAGAAAAGATCAACAAAATTGGCAAACCTTTAGCTAGATTGACCAAAAAGAAAGAGGAAATACCCAAAATTACTAGAATCTAAAAAGAAAAGGAAAATGAACCTTATGAAAAATAAAAAGTATCATAACAAAATACTACTATATGCCAATAAATTAGATCACAGATAAAATGGACAAATTCCTAGAAAGACACAAACTCATACACAACTGACTCAAGAAGAAACAATCTTAATAGCCCTATAGCAAGTGAAGAGACTGAATTAGCAATCAAAAAAACTACCCACAAAGAAAAGTCAAGGAGGCTTCACAGCTGAAGTCTTGTGAACATTTAAAAAATAATTAAGGCCGGGCACAGTGGCTCACGTCTGTAATCCCAGCACTTTGCGAGGCCAAGGCATGCAGATCACCTAAGGTCAGGAGTTTGAGACTAGCCTGGCCAATATGGTGAAACCCTGTCTCTACTAAAAATACAAAAAATTAACTTGGCATGGTGGCATGCGTCTGTAATCCCAACTACTCAGGAAGCTGAGGCAGGAGAATTGCTTGAACCCAGGAGGCAGAGGTTGCAGTGAACCAAGACCATGCCAGGGCACTCCAGCCTGGGCGACAGAGTGAGACTCTGTCTCAAAAAAAGAAGATATAACATACAAAAACTTATGGGAAGCAGGGCATAGTGATGCACATCTGTAAACCCTGCTACTTGTGAGGCTGAAGCAGGAGGATCGCTTGAGCCCATGAGTTCGAAGCCAGCCTAGGCAATATAGCAGAACCCCATTTGTAAACAAGAACAACAAAAATTTATGGAATAAAACTAAGGCAGTACTTAAAGGGAAACTTGTATTTGTAAACGCCCAATTAAGAAAGAACAATAACCTAGACTTCTGCCCTAGGACACTAGAAAATGAAATACAAACTACACCTAAAGCAAACAGAAGGAAGGAAATAATACAGGCAAGAGCAGAAATTAATACAGAATAGAAAACCAACAATCATGAAACCAAAAGGTGGTTCTCAGAAAAGATCAACAAAATTGGCAAACCTTTAGCTAGATTGACCAAAAAGAAAGAGGAAATACCCAAAATTACTAGAATCTAAAAAGAAAAGGAAAATGAACCTTATGAAAAATAAAAAGTATCATAACAAAATACTACTATATGCCAATAAATTAGATAACAGATAAAATGGACAAATTCCTAGAAAGACACAAACTCATACACAACTGACTCAAGAAGAAACAATCTTAATAGCCCTATAGCAAGTGAAGAGACTGAATTAGCAATCAAAAAAACTACCCACAAAGAAAAGTCAAGGAGGCTTCACAGCTGAAGTCTTGTGAACATTTAAAAAATAATTAAGGCTGGGCACGGTGGCTCACACCTGTAATCCTAGCACTTTGGG